ATTAATATATTTCTGCTTGCATGTGATTTAGACTGGTTGTAAGTTAGACAATCTTCCATCAGAAGTTTTTAGATGCACAGAAGTACAGTAATTCCTAAGAAAAATTAAGTTACGTTTTACCATCAGGGAAATCTGTTATACTTTGTTCTCAAAAGCTTAAAAGTAGAATTAGTTGTAATAAATATTTTAAATTGTACAAGATATGAAATCTTAAGATTACAGTGATTTAATGTAAGAATTGAAGGACTCTGGGTTGGAGATTGTAGAAAAGCTATGTAAATTAAGAAATTAATACTGGGTAAACTCTCATGATATATAGGATAATAATTCATAAGCCAGGGAACAACTATTAGAAAATGCTGTTCTTTCATAGCTATTGCAAAAGGTAGTAATTTGTTATTTTTAGATATAGGTAGTATGTGTTATTGAGATTATTCTATTTGAGAACTAGGTAGAAATAGAAGTATTTTAAAAAGAAGTAGAAGTCTTATACAATTCAGAGTTTCTTTTGGAATTCAAGCTGATCAAATCTATAAAAACTAAACCAAAAAGAAATCTCATTAGACCAGCACTGATGTTCAAAATGTAGTATAAGCACAAATTTAATCTCATTCCACTCACTTTGTTACAGTGATTTACACAAATGAAATTTTTATATCTCACCTTCCACTGAAAGCATTACAGGGAAATTCCTTCTTTCGTTCCTTCCTTCCTCCTTTCCTTCCATTCGTGAGCTAGAGTATCTTTGATAATTTCCACTTCCTATAAATTTCTTTTTCATGCACTTTATCTGTTTTTCAGCTGTGTTGTTTTATTTCTTATTGACTTATACAGGTTCTTTAGGTAATATGGATATTTTATTCTTTGACTTAATTCAACTACCTATTAAGAATGTTAACTCCATAACTGTATCAGTCTCTTTCTGGACTTTATTCTTTTTTTAATCTTTTAGGACCTACTGGTTTATTTGCTACTTAATACATATATTTTACATATTTTGGTACCAGAAAGAAAATCTTCCTCATCCTTAACTTTTCAAACGGCTCTTTGTTTTGATATTCACAGTTTTGAGTTTTGCTTTTTATGTTCTTCTTAACCATGAGTCTACCATAGGCACCTCACTGTCAAAATTAAATTTCTCCCCAAAATTAGTGGATTATATTAATTTTTTGTGTTAATATAGGAATACCTAGCCAGGTATGGTACTTTGTAATCCCAGCACTCGAGAGACTGATACAGAAGGATCACAAGTTTACTTTTATGAATGGGCTCCTTTTTTCCATTATATTTTGTAACTGAATTAACCAGGACTTGTGAATTTATTCCATATCCATGTCTACCAGCATCTAAATTTTCATTAGAAAATTATATACACAACATGTATATATGGCCTTAGAAATCCAAGTAGATACTGGAGTAAGGAAAATAAAAATCAGTCCTTCTTCAGAGTTTGGCAAAGAAAAGAGTTTGGTATAGAACAACATAAGTAAGGATTTACATGAAACAAACTCTTGTTAATAAAGTACTTTACACTTAGAAGAAAGTACTCCCTCATACTCCACAGAACAAAAAAACCTCTGTTTTTTAAATGTGCATGTCATAAAGCAAAAATAAATTCTAAATAGAATTTGTACAGGTTGCATTCTCTGGTTGTTATGGAATAAAAATGCAATAAAAAAAAAAAAAACATGGACTAGTGGTAGAGCACTTGGCCTTGGGTTCTATCCTTAGCAGTGCAAAAAAAAAAAAACTAAAAATAACCTGACTGTATGGAGATGTTAAAACACTTTACTAACTAATTTATTCTTCAAAGTACTCTTTGATTAAAGAAAAAATTAAAGATAAATTACATAATCAGAGATGAACTAAAATAAGAAACTAATTTTTATCAATTAAAATTGAAAATAAATAAAAGTTTCAACTAAAAAGAATACAAAGAAAATAAGAGGGAGAAATTTAAGAGGATAAAAATAGAAATCAATAAATTATATAACAATAATCTTCCCAAAATGGAAATAAAACCCCATGTGAGTTTTTAAAAATAAATAATGTAAACAGATAAACCTGATAGATACAGAGAATGCAAAAGTATGCATTAAGAAAGAAAAAAATAATTATAAGCCAGGGAACATTTACACACTTAAGCTAATAACATTTTAAAATCTAGATTAAGGATTTTCCTAAAAAATCATAATCAAAATTGACTCAAGCAGATGTTGAATTCTAAACAGACTAATTACCAAAAAGAAGTCCAAAAGATTGTTAAAGACAAACTGCTATCAAAGATTCAGACCCAGCTTTATGGGTGAATTCAACCCTTCAAGAGACTAATTATTCTTAGATTGTTTATACTGTTCAAGAATATAAAAAAGAATGGAAAGTTTGCATATTCCTGATATTAAAACAGGAAAAATTAACACAAAAAGAAAACTATACATTTGTCTCATTTATGAATATAAGCTAATATCCTAAATAAATATTAGCAAATAGAATTGTCAAGTGTCTCCAAAAAAACAATACACTGATTAAGAATGGTTATTCCAAGAAGGCAAGAATGATGCAATATTAGGAAATCTATTAATATAATTGATATGTCATTAATAAAATAAAGAAGAGCAATTATATGGTCATTCTTAGTATTTTTTGAAGCATTTTATAAATCATTATACATTTTGAATGGCAACTAAATTATGAAGGGAATTTCCTAAACAAACAAATACTTTGTTACTTTTACTGTTTAAAAACCCCATTTAATGATAATAATTGGTACAGCAAAGTAAAGTATTAAAAATGAAGATAGCCCTACTAAAGTTTTTTAAGATGAATAATCAGAAATCAGTTTCCTAAGAACATCTTAAATAATGCTATATTCAGATTAAACTTTTCATCCTGTATGATGCTAAAGTTTATTTTGAATTAAGGTGAAAAGATAAAAATGTGTGCCTTTACAATGTCTGCATATGTCTATAAGCCACTCAAGTGGAACTCTACAGACAGTTTGCACCTGCAGTTTTGTTTACAGTGTGTTGAAGAAGCAAAGAAGTACTCCTCCAGCTAGAAATATTAATAAAGCAGAGATAAAAATGAAAGTACAGAATTGGATACTCTCCTTAGAAAAATAATACTTTCTCTTTTTGGGAAAGACTGGTTCATTGAATTTTGCCTAGTTATCTTTCTAGGACTGATTGCCTTAAAATCATTGCACTGATATGTGTTACATCCTTATTATTATGGATACAGTGTGTGATAGGTGTTCACAGACATATTGTAGATAAAGCCAGGGCCTTCCCCTCATGAATAAACTGTATTATGAACAGTTACAGGTGTGATTTTAGGTAGCAGTGGGTTCAGGGCGGTAATACGTACAAGCTGGGCCTTATAGAATAAGGACAGAGGAGAAAAAAGTTTCTCAGGCTGGAACAATGTGAACAAAAGTATGGAAGCAGAAGCTACAGTATATGTTTATATAATCTAATGGAACTCAAACCTAGCAGAGGATGAGGGTTCCTAAAATGTTAAAGAAAAATCAAGGGCCTACCCATGGGGATCTGATTCAGTGAGGGGAGGGAGAGAGGGCAAAAGATAAGGTCCAGATTCCTATGTTTTCTAAAAGCGCCCCCATGGATGATTCTGTTCACAGTCAAGGTTGAAAATCAGTGATAAACTCTAGCATGTGACTAGGGTTTTCTGATGTGGAAGTACTATGGGAGATGAAGCTAGAAAGATATATTGGAGCCAAATGATAACTGGAATGACATGGTTTTGAAATTGTCTGTTTTTGTGTTGTTTTTTATTTCTCTTACATCACCATGATCTCTTCATTAGATATTAACCAAATATCCCTTACACAGAACTTGACCCCTGGGTGAATTCAAAGCAAACTTATATTAAATGAGATGAAGAGGATGGACCTGTCAGTATTGCTATATAATCACCTCCAAACTTAAAACAGCCCTTTAATTATTACTCATAATTTTGTTGGTTGACTACATTCATCTGGGGATCAGTTGGTCTTAAGTGTTAAAGATAGTTCACAACAAGCATTTGAAAGGATCCAAGCCACAAGACTTCCTAAGATCCAGCTTTAGTAGCTCAGACATTACTGCTATCGATTCTGTAGGTCAAGCAAGTCACTAAGACCAACTCATATTCAGTGAAATGTGAATAAACTCCATCCCTTAAGGGAAAGAGCAGTGTGTGCCCAAAAAAAAAAAAAAATATATATATATATATCCAAATTTCAGGAAATTTTGATAGATGCCAATAATTTTGCAGTTAGACAAAACAGTAAGGGTAAAAGATCTGAATAATATAAAATGCTTATGTAATCAATTCATATATTGAATTCTTTATCTGACAATAAAGAATACCCTCTCATTTCAGGTATCCATGCAGTGTTTGTCTCTCTCCTCCAAAAAAGGAAGCACTTGATCCCCATACACACATAAGTCTGAATCCTTAACATGATATGTTTTCCTTACCCTCAACCTGGCAGAAATAATTACAGTCGTATTTGTCTCACCAGTTTCATACTGCTCTGTGTTAAGTGGGCTATTCTGTTTTTAGAGTTTCTTCCTCTGGATGACTTCTTTACACATGGTATAAATAATTGGGTTGCACATTCTCTCTTAAGTTCTTCCCTGGTGTTTATTTGGTTTTTTTTGTTTGTTTGTTTTGGTTTTGGGGTTTTTTTTTTAAGAGCAGCATGGAAGGGGTTTTTGCTTTGTTTTCCCATAGTATCATGATAAGAGAAGTTTTGACTTGTCCTGGATGTGCTGTACACGTTAGGGTCAACATGCAGCAGCCACTGGGATCTTGTAATTTGCCAGTAATACTGACCTGGGGGTGGGGGGAATTGAGCTGGAGTTGTTGTCATCGCTTGTTTTCCATGTGTTATTTTTATAAGTCCCTTAAGGGGAAAAAAAATGTTTTAAGAGGTTTTTTTTTTGGGAGGGGGGAGAGACATTTACTTGTTTTTGTCTTGTCTTTACTTTCTGAAGCTTGTGTTACTTTGCCATCCTACTAAGAAAGAGTTTGAGGTGGGAGCCCAGGGTGTGGGGATGATGCAATTTCCTGGCCTGTGAATCCTGTGTACTTACTGCATTTATCACTGTGTCACCATACGATTTATAGGAGTTCTTTCTGAACTGGATCTTGTGGCTAAACCACCCAGGATGGGGGGGTTGAAGCCAATGGCCGCTTCCTCAATAACACTCAGATCCATTTGCTGTTGCAGGTCGTCACACTGTGGTACCGGGCTCCAGAAGTCTTGCTCCAGTCCAGCTATGCTACCCCCGTGGACCTCTGGAGTGTTGGCTGCATATTTGCAGAAATGTTTCGTAGAAAGTAAGAAATACAATTTGTTTTTAAATCTTTAGTAATCTGAACAGCAGCATGGTGTTTGTCTCAATTAGGGTCAGGATTTGGATCCGTCTGCTCCTGGCTACTCCTTCTAGACCTGTCCTGAAACCACTCTCAGTCCTTACAGTGTAGTTTTGTGTGACTGTAGCTTCCAGCTCTTGGAAACTCTGTTTGGAACAGAACACCCCACTGTTATCACCATTTGTTGCTTTTGTTGGTGAGGATAAGACATGGTGAATGTGAAACATGTTATAGTATTTTTTTTAATTGAAGAAGTATCCTCAAAGTAGACTTTATCCACAGAAGAAGAACCCAGACCATTAAGTTCATGGGAATTTTTAGCAGAAATTCTGATGGTGAGAATTGTTAAGAAAAATTTAGGCTGTAAGGAAATTGGTAAGGAGGATTGTTTGTACTGTTTCAAAATACTTTTTAAGGTTGCCATGTAAAGAGAGACCGGGCATACTTTAATTTCTATGTAGAAATTTAAGAAATAAAGATATTTGCTCAGAGGAGAGACAATCTAATGATTATACAGTGATGTGAAAAGTGGCCTGGAGTTTGTGCATTCCCCTGGGATGTCCGAGAGGAGTTTGGACCTCCACACATTGGAGATGCTTTTAGCAGCATTCATAGGACAAGTGGTCAAGCTTGATGACCTCCAGGGGCCACCACTCCATATATGAAAGTCTGTGGTTCATTTGTTTGGCTTTCAGATCACAAAAAAAAATAACCAAGCAATATAATAAAGATCTGCCAGGAAAATAATCCATACCTAGATACTAAGTTTGGCCTGTTCAAAATTAAACAAAAAACCAAATTATAATCTACTCTCTTTATTTTCTATTTTTATATCCATGGGAAAATGTGAGTTGGGAAGCTGAGTATATTCCCATTGGACATGGTTTGTTCAAAATGCAGCTGCATGATAGCTCAGAAGGAAAAGAAATGGTCAGCCATTGCTTGCTGTTTGTTCATTTGTTCTAACCAGATGAAGTTTTGTACAATGAATCTGGGGGACTCTTTCTAGAACCCAGCAGATTCATCTATAGCTCAAAGGATAGGATTGTGGAATGGGGATCAGAGCACAAAAATGTTTGATGCTAACCTCATGTATGTCAAGTACAGTGCCAAGGCACTGTAGCCTTTTTAATCCTTACAATAAGAGGAAACTAAAATGGAGTGGTTAATTTATTTGTCTAGCATCAGGCAGCTAAGAAGTAGCAGGGATATGAATCGAAAGGAAGTCTTGAGAGTTCTGATGCAGTATTGTTCCCTTCCTACAAGGGAAGGAAGGAAAAAAGTAACATTCAACTCAGTCATAGTGTCTACCGAACAGGCTAAATAAGTGGTTTTGAGTGTGTGGGCCCTGGGTGGCAGCATCAGTATCATTGGGATCTTACTAAAAATGCAGATTCTCAGGCCTACCCCAGACCAAATGAATTAAGAGCTCTTGAAGTCCACCAACCTGTGTTTCAGCAGGGCATCCACTTGATCCTAATACATACTCCAGGGTAGGAACCACTAGGATTGGATGACAGAACTACCAGCAATAGACAATCTTAAAAGTGTGTGTCCCAGGCTACTCCGTTCAGATTCTGGTTCATTACTAGACAGGGGCCAGGAACGCTTGTTTTTAAAAGTATCCCAGGTAATTTTTTCATCCATTGTAAATCACATTGAGTTAAAAGCTTATGGTCACAGCAGGGAATAAATTACTGTCAGTAAAGCAGGATGGGAGTTAGGATAGTATTCCAGGTCATCCAAGGAATTACTCGATATGGTTAAGAATTGGTTACAGAAATTATTATTAGAATCACATTTATATGTGTCTAGAATTTCCCTCAATGTAGAGATGGAGTACCTCTTTATAGTGTGGGGAAGGACAATTATTTTTCAACAATATAGACTTAAATATTAGCCACAATTGGTGATAAAAACCATTATCTTTTAAAGCTATTAAAAAAAAAAGATGAAACTTGAGATATGTAGAATTAAGTATTCACTAGTGAAGAATTTTCTCTGTTTTTAAGCGTAGGCAGTTCGCAGCCCTGGAACAATTGCAATCTCAAGTTTTATTTTCAAGCATTCATAATATTTGCATTGAAGTGGCAGTGTAACTGGTTCCCAGGCTAGCTTGCAGGCCCATATATAACCTGGAACATACATGAAACATCAGTTGTGCTAATTCATCAAAACCTTTTTTCTGCAAGAGAATTCATTCTATATTCCAGTCCAACGTGACAGAAATACCCGCCTCTCCACCCTGGCATTGGGACTGAGAAAGGGAACTTGGACATTGGAGAGTCAAGTGCGGTGCTAGTGGCAACATTGTTTCATTTTGCTGGAATCGTGGCTCTTCAAATGTGCACATAAGAAAGTACCCTTTCTCCTGGAATTTTATGCAAAGATAGCAGGTTAAGAAACAGTTACTTGGAGGGGGAAGCAATATCCAAATCCAGGTCCATGGAAACCAAGACCTAGAGCAGGTGCTGCCCTATACCCTTGGTAGTTGCTGCTGATTTGGCTTTGACCTCGTATTTGAAGTTTGTTCCTGCTCAGTTCTTACTATACCACCCAGATATCTGAACATGGCATACTTCTTACCCATGTGGTTTAGGGGCCAGCCCCCCAGCTTGGTCTGGATCCAGCTTGACTCTTGATTCAGTGTTGATGCAGTTGAGAACTCACATGCCAAGGATTTGGAAAGCAGACTCCCTCGTTACTGTAGCTTAATACTAAATTGGGGAATCCTGGCATGTCTACTTTGGGTTCCCCCATGTTATTGAGGCAGTAATTCCTAAATTTTGTCATTTCTTTATTATCTTTACTGTTTTTGCTGTATTTTTATGGAATCTATTATTTACTTACTTTTTTAGTAACCTAAATCAAGTTGTTGTTTTTCTTTAAGTTTAGCATCATCCTAAACAAAAATACATAAACTCATAGATTCGGTGAGCCAGTTATTTGTCTAACATTAGAATTCATAACCCTTGAAATTATTAAGAAACTTTGTCCATGTTTATCCCCTAAAATCATCACACTGTCACCAGCAATATATGTCTGCTGTTGAAAGCTCTGTAATAGGGTATTCCATTCCATCTACAAATAACTTATTGAGTGGTTGCTATATGCAAGGTCCACTGCTAGAGGGATAATTTAAACCCTAGTGGACAAGAAAGTCATTACATACAAGATGAGTTACTTAACCAGAGTTGGCCTAAGTGCTGTGAAGAAGTGTGGGGTACTGTGAGTGAGTAGGAGAAGACTCACTCCTACTCAGTGAAGATTTCTCAATGGAAGGCCACAAGTCAGGATTAACCTTCCCCACAAGTCACATCCAAGTTGTTCATATAAAATCTTTGAGGAGTAATTATTTCTGTGTCACCCAACACGCACCACCCTCCATAACCTAGGGAGAAGAAAAGAAGCAAGGGAATTAAACACCTGTCTTGTGAAAAGCCTAGGCCAGGGCCATGCATTATCTCATCAAACCTACATTCTGAGGTAAGGGCAGTTACTTAGAGTTTGCACATGTTAAACCTTCCACAGAAAAGTGAATAATTTGTCTAAGGAGCACACAAATGTTACATGGCAGAGCCAAATTTGAACCCAAGTCTTCCTGATTCCATAGCCTTAGACTGTTTCTACTTTGCTATGCTTCTGCTCTTGGTGTCATATTTTTTTCTGGAATGTTTTATAGTATTACTGCAATATAGCAGCAATGATACTTTAAAGAAGCCAAGAAGCAAATCATACAAATAATGACTTTGATTTCTATATTCCCCAATATTGAAAAGGTTGACTAATTCTCTATCATATTAAGAATTATATGCCTTCTGTTCTAAAGTTGAATACCTAGGAAATATGAACTCAAATAGAGAATCTTAAGGCATATGGTTGATAAAGAACCAGAGAATTAAATACCATCTGTCACTATTATCTGGGTTTAATAATTGCCCACACTGACCTGCAGAAGCATTCTACAAAGTGGATTAGAGCTAGATTTATCTTCTTCCTTTAACTCTTTGTCCATGGGTAATCCATCTTTGCTCCACATTGAGTTTTTTTTTTTAATACTAAAAAACATTTGTTATGAATTTGGCTGGTAGCAGGCTAGTCAGGTTAAAGGATGGAGAGGAAGGGAGGGATGGTTGGGATAGACTAATTTTTAATTTCATGATAAAATAAATTCACAGTGTCAACTCTCCAGATAGCTATCAGTTGCCTTATGATCCTGGTCAGAACTGTTGTCTGTGGTTTAAAAGTTATGGGGTTTTCCAGGTTACAGCAAAGTCATTAAAATGTTTTAAAAAATAAAACATGCTAGTTAATTCTTTGAATGTGGAGATTGTGGTAAACAGATAGTAATTCTTAGAAGTTCTGGGTTCCCCACTCTGCTGATCCCTAGCTAAGAAATGCCAAATGCCACCAGGAAGAATACAACAAATATGGTCACTGTTAGAAACAACAGAGGCTTCATGGTTATATTGCCTCTTGTCTGGTGGCCTCTTGAGGCTTGTCGTCATTGATTTCTATGAATTAAACACCCAGTAGCTGAGAAACTAACAGTGAAACTGTCGTTTGTGGGTCAGTAGCCAGTGAGCAAATGTCACTGAGTTCCTTGCCAATTTTCCTATCAGTCATTGTGTTATAGTGCTTCTCCATATTTGAGTGGCATCAAGGAAATAAGGTCCTTAACTGTCTCAACAGAGGCACCAGAAGGCAAGTCCAGGCTCACGAAAGGAAACGTATCACCTCAGTTAGGTCAGAACACGTGTGCAGAAGCCAGGGCACTTAGCTGGACTTGGGCATTTCTTACCTCTTCTTGGATATTTTCTTCTTTTAAGGAACCAACCAAATTGGAAAAACTCTAAAGGAGTATTTTCTTGAGTAAAGAAATATCCAAGATGGTACTCAGGAAAAAGACCAATCTTGGTTTAGTACTAAGTCTAGCAAGAGCAAATGAAGACTTTTGTAATGTA